TATACAGCTCGTTGAGAAATGAGGTTAAGTTGGTCGCTATAAGCTACGCCCTACGTCCAATGTGTCAGAGCCAACTTCGACCACGTTTTTATTTGAACGCTCGTTATAATAATATTTTTACGTTAAATTAACATTTAATAGAATTGTCTCAACTTTTAACCGAAAAATAGTTCTAGACGTTTGAAAAATATTTCAGTCAAGAGGAGAATGGTTTACCAATTTTAACATTGACAGATGTCAATGTAGGTAGCTTTAATTCGTGTCTTTTAAGAGCAAACAGGATACATCACCGGTGTTTTTGTTTTAATTTTGACCAAAACAAATGTGGCGACAACAAAACATCAATTACACAAAAAAAAATCGCATCTCAAAATCAGTTATTAGCTCGTCCCATTTGTCTAATGTCAAACGAATAGTTTTACACTATAATTAACAGTCATCTATATTTTTTTGCGATCTAGTCGTGTTCTGTTATTATTAATTAAAATTATATCCATTTAACGCCGAAAATACTTAATTTCTCACATTATGTAACTCCGATATCGCCGTTATGACAGCTATAAATTTTATTAATGGTAACGATAAAATTAAAATAATTTAAACGCGACGTCGAGGAAGATATTCTGGTACTCTGATAAAATGCCACGGCGTGGGCTGACTGGGTCGAAAAAAAAATAATAATAAAAATGATACTGTTCGTTGCGGATATTGTATTACCTGTATCTTCTGTTTAATGATCTCTTAAATTCCAAATAAAAATAGTGATGTAATAATGGTTTTATTAGGAACCAGTGTGGTCCTTGGTGGTGATATATGTGAACCAGTTTTTAAGGAACTCCATTCTATTTCTGTATACTTTCATACAGAGCGTTTCGCGTAAGAAAGAATGAAGTTTCCAAACCAGTTACCACAATTATCTTGCTATATATTAATTATTATTTGATTTTTGTGTACATCTTAATAATAATGAATGATTTAATATTGAATTTAATGTAATAGATGTGGAACATACAGTGAGTTTCACTTAAAGTCGGAATACCTCCGTATTTAGGATGGCGAAGACTCTCAAAAATTAAAAAACATATTAGGCAGTTTTTTAAGAAAGAAATGGATAGCATTTTCGATTTAATCGCACCTCAAAACCCTATATACAAAGTTTCATTATTATAGCTTTTGTGTGTGTTTTGTGAACAGTGTTGACTGTTCACAAAATAGGTGCCAACCTCGAAATATTTCACTCATTGCAGTGTGTCTTGTATTAACATTGAGAAATATTTTCAAGGTATTTTTCCATAATTCTATCAACCGTTGGTATATCCATGCAGTTTCATTGATTTCATTTATACAGGGTATAAGACAGCCAAATTATATATATATATTTATTATACCAGAAATGAGTCTCACAACGAAATAATATTTAAATATTTTCTATTATTCCACCACCATTTGATACGCACTCTTCAATTCGTCTCCTCTNAAATAAATCTTAATTAAAAAAATTTATGTGTTTTGTGGCATTTTATGTGATCGAATAATCGGGCCCTTCTTCTTTAATGTTAACCTAAACGCAGATTTTTTAAAATTTTTTAAATAAGGATTTCTGGGATTCTGTACATGCACTTCTTCTTCATGTAAGACAGAACCTCTACCTTCTACTACATGGAATCTAAAAATGAATCCCAAATGATCATTGGCGTAGAAGTTGGGGTAAATTTCCTACGCCCCTGACCTTACAAAAATTTGTAATTTATACAGGAAATAATGCACATGCGTAAATGTTAACACTATACCTTTGAATCAATTTGTTATAAGCATACCAAAGATTTCATAAATAATGATTTTAAAAATCGCCCAATACGGCCCTGTACAGTGAAAACGGTGCGACTTAGACCCTTGCTTTATAATGCAATTCGGAATTATTTATTGAGTTCTATTTGTGGTTAAAGTTTGATTCACTCGAACTGAAACACCCAGTATGGCACTGTTTGGCTGTCTTATTGGGAGCACCCTGTATGAGTTAAATCAGTGAAACTGCATGGCAAAATTAATTAAAATTATGAAAATATATATTGAAAACATTTTCCACGGAATCTCTACAATGAGTTCTTCAAAATACACCATTACTGCGTTTTCTGAGAAAGTTTGGACATTTTTGGCTAGTCGCCAGTCCATAAATCGGCTTAACTCAGCTTCATACCTGCTTCTGGAATTTGTGGGCAGCAGTTCCGAACATATTTCGCTTGTTTTCTGTAAAATCTCTTCAGAATCACATATTTTCACACCCAAACTTCGGGAATTCAACAATTTTTGAAGTATCTAATCAACAAAATAAAGGAGCCGTGACGGTTGCTATGAAACTCAGACAACTTGAAACATTGCATAATTTGGGTGACATCAAACAAAAATCACAATCTGGAGACGCGTGTGCAAAGATGACATAACCGTGTGCAAAATGTTTAGCACACGGCGTGTGCAAAATACCGTTTTCAGAGCGTTTTTTCCGTGCGCAAAACCCCCTTTTGCAAGGCAGTCGTATAAAAACAATAATTTAGTACTACTTTTTATTTTATTACAGCAAATGTTCAAAGTGGTCCCCATTAATCATTGCATAATGCTCAATTCGGTGTTCAAAGTTATAAATTATATTTTTAATAACATTTGGTGTTATGCTTCGAACTTCTTCTTTGATACTACTTTTTTCAGTCCTTCGATAGCGTCTGGTCTGTTCACATACATTTTGCTTTTTAGATAACACCACAAAAAAATCTAGTGTGGTTAAGTCAAGGGAGGGTGGTGGCCATTCAAGTGACGCTTTTCTGCCTATCCATCGATTTGGGAAAACTTCATTAATATAATTTTTTACATCGAGGCGAAAATGTGGAAGGGCACCATCTTGTTGGAACCAGGAAAATTAATTCCAGGGCTGAAATCATCTGAAAACGAAAAAGTTCACCTGTCAAATTGCCCTCAAAGGAATAAGGTCCCAAGTATGCGTTTTACTACTATTCCAGCCCAATCATTCACTTTTTCCGGCCGTTGTGTATGTTTTTTCTTGCATCCAATCCGGATTTTCTGGATTGCAAAACCTAGTATTTTGCCTGTTCACGGTTCCATTGTAGCGAAAGGTTGCTTCGTCACTGAAAATTATGTGATTTTTCAAGTTGGGTTGTCTTTCAAATGAATTTCTAATTTCTCGCAAAACTGTAATCTTCTGTCTGTGTCATCTGCTCATAATTCTTGTAAGACGTTAACTTTGTAAGGATGCCACTTTTGAGTTTTGTGAACTGAGGACTTCGTCAAGTTGAAGTTGGCCGAGATCTATCTAATAGATGAGTGAGGATTTTCAGTAACGGCGAGCATCACATTTTGACGTTCATTATCGCTCACCGTTCTTCGTCTTCCTAATCCAGGTAAATCTTATATATTTCCGGTTTTTTTCAATCTTTTTGGAGACTTTACTTATTGTAGCTCGACTAATTCTCTGGTTTATGGTGAAATAAGTCACATAAGTTATACTTCAAAAATATGTATTATAAATCATATACACTTCGCAACAAAAATTAGGCGACTAATCTGACATTTGCAACTTTGAAACTGAGGCTAGTATTTAGTGGTGCATTAATTTTCATGCAAAGTATATAATTTATATCTATTTATAATTAGATATTTGTTAATTCCCTTTTATAAGAAGGCCACTTGAAAAGGCAATCTTTAAAGTGAAGAAATGGTTTAGTTATGTCATCGTGGATGAAGTACCTATATGTTGATTTGTATCCAAAAATATGTTACAGCTATTAAAAAACAATAATAAGATATTATTTCTTTGGACCTTTGCAACGTTTAATAATTTCAATATGTTGCGTATGTAGGTACATATTTATTAGCTAGTACTACATTGAAAAAACATACACACAAATAACATTTTTTTGGAGCAATTATCATTTATTTACGGTTAAAATATCACTTTGGTGTTAATATAGCATTTATTTAAATTAAAATAAATAAATAGATGTATTTAGTTCTAAAAATAATAAAAATAGATAAAATCTTTACTTATTATTTTTTAATGTATTAGTATTAACTGTAAAAAATATACACAGATTTTAGCTGATTTATAAAACCTATTCTGTAATAAAAAAGACTGTATTTTTCAGTAGATTTATTAAAATTAACTTGTTAATGATGACAGGAAAATGTAGGGTTGTAGGTACTCTACATTACATACACTGACAAAACTTGTCGCGGTTGCGCATTAAATAGTGTAGTAATACCGGATTTTAAGGAATTAAACATTTATTTCCTACGTGTGTTTAAAACTACATGATTCTATTTAATAATTAACATTACACAAACCAATAAGACCCGAAATGAACATCAGAGTGGACTGGGGATTCTAATAGCTTATCCGCCCCCACAACGCCTAGCCCGAGAGCAACACAGGCAGGTTAAAAAATAGTCATATTATATTAAATAGTTGCCTGTACGTTTTATATATCGTAACGGGCTGCAAATGATTGACATAAAAACGAAATATTTAATATGTCACACAATAATACATTAACATCCATATTTGTTTACCAAAATTCGTTGTTTTTTCCCTAAATTTATAGATTATAGAGATAGGACTGCTTTAAGCGAAACGCACTGTATATTTACTTTTCGCCTAATAAAAACGAAATCACATAAGTACACAAAAAACAATACAAGAGTTTTTTCTAATTAAAAATATAATCAAATACACTACTTTTTATAACCAGCCTCTTGTCTATGTCTTTACTTGTCTTTACAAAAAAAATGGGTTACAAGGTTTTCAATTATTTCCCAGTTTAAAACAACCGTCCTAGGTCCTAGAGGCTAATGCTGATCCAGTGACCAAAGCTGTCCGCTAAGCACATCGAGACTTTGACCCTATTTTTCGTGCAATACCGAACAAATGTCAGCACATCGAACAGAACGTCGAAAAGCTCGAAACCTGCTCCAAAGCATCCATGAACGGCCTTCAGATTATAGATGGCTCATATAAAGCGGATTTTTTCTATCCTTATCATCATTCACTTGTGGGAACTGCGAATGAAACAATGAAGTCTTTCCTGGTAAGTTTTTGGACACATGTTTCTAACCGCTTCAAATAGTTAACAGACATTTTGTTGTTATTATTTAAATTAATTTGCTCGTAAAACAATTATAAATACGTAACCATGAAGATACAATACGGATCATTAAAATTATATTTTTTATGTTTGCTTGGAACGTTATAGATTGCTTTATATTATAATCAATTGTTATGTTTCAAATTTCAGTCAGATTAATGAAATTATTGTTGCATATTAAATTTTGGGGAGATGCAGTGTTTTAAAACTATTTTTTTTTACTTTGACTTCGCAAAACGCTTATACATTTTCATTTGATAAGACACGCAAAGTCAAAAGGTTCTATTTTCTCTTTCGAGGTGAAACGTATGGTAGAATGTAAAAAATCTTCTGTGATAATTTTAAAAATATATGTACAGGGCAAGGTTTATGATGTGGATGAAATATAATCTATAAAGTATGTTTGCTTCCGCTGACGAATGATTTTAGCTGTTTATTAGATATTGTGGGTGTAATTCAATGCTGGGTGGGGCATGTGGGACCCAGAGCAGTATTTTCCTACGATATCACTAGTTAAATTGATTCTGGTTTTAAAATGTACCTCTGGACTACAGGGTGAGTCAGTTTTTTGTAGACAAACTTTAACAGGAGATAGAACACATGTTTTTAAAAAGAAAAGTTCCTATAAAGATATGTCGTAGAAGGCTTCGTTTTCCGAGATACAGGGTGTTGATATTTTTTTTTCTCGAATTTTCATTATAACAAACGAATGCTTAGATTTTTTTCATATTTGGGGGATAATGCCTATTAATTAAGGGGCATAAAACAAGCGATAAGAATGTTCAAAAACTTGCACAGTGGCGGAGTGGAGGGGGTGCTCAACCCCTTTCTTAAACAGAATTTCTACGCCAATGACTACTTAAAAAAAAACCTGTTATTTTCATCATCTACATACAGTTTAACAAAAATAATGTCCCTTCTTCTGTTCCAAAATTCCTGTCCGTTTGCGAGTTATTTTGATTTTTAGTGTTTTTTGTGGTAGTAATTTATTTATTATCAATTATCGCCTAAATATTTAATTCTTTCAACGAAACCCACCTAAATATGGTTTGTTAAGGACTCTAAAAAGCCGAAATCTTTTATTCTTTATCTCTTTCCAATGTAGTCAAAATAAATATTGCGAATTTTGCATTTTTGTTAAACTGTATGTAGATAATGAAAATAACAGTTTTTTTTAAATAGTCATTGGCGTGAAAGTTCTGTTTAAGAAAGGGGTTGAGCACCCCCACCACTCCGCCACTGTGCAAGTATTTGAACATTCTTATCGTTTGTTTTATACCCCTTAATTAATAGACATTATCTCCCAGACATAAAAAAAATATAAGCATTCGTTTATAAGTTATAATGAAAATTCGAGAAAAAAAAATTATATTCAACACCCTGTATCTCGGAAACGAAGCCTTCTACGACATATGTTTATAGGGACTTTTCTATTTAAAAACATGGGTTCTATTTCCTGTTAAAGTTTGTCTACAAAAAACTGACTCACCCTGTATATGTATACAGGAATTCCCTAAGAAAATACTCTGTATATATCTTGCATACATAATATTGTTATTTGAGATAATATTTTCTATTATAAATGTCATGCCACAAGTTATAAAAATGAAATCAAAACAATGATAATTACAATACTTGCGAATTTTGCACTTGAATATTGTTATTTTTGGCCATATAACTTTTAATATAAATAAATACCATTCAAATTTTTCTATAAAATGGCGTCCCTTAGTTGCTTATTTTCATTTTCATTTGTACATAAATTTAAAAAAAAACACTTTTTCGATACAATTGTGTAAATCAATACTCAGTTGCATTGTCGATTGCATATACAGGGTGTCCCGTATAAGAACCGACACAGGGCAGGTGCATCTAGGGGTGTCCAAAGTATTGTAACTTAACCAAACTTACCTATATACAAAGCTGCATCCCCAAAGTAGGGCCCTAAATTTTGAAAAAAAAATAATATCTGCAACACTTTACCGCAGAAGAACCAAATTTGGTACATGATTTAGGTTTATTACTGGTCTTATATGACTATGATTGAAAGTTAATTGAAGCACTACAAAGTGTTTATTGGGAATGACTCACCCCTAAAATTGTACCGAACTTTTTTTTCATTCGCCGAATTGAAAAATAGTAATGTTAATTCACAGCAGAATTTAATTTTAATTTTTTTTTACATTTGTTAAATTTTAAAAAACTTTATTGTTTTTAAGAAAAACCGTATTAACTGACACAAGATTTTAACAGTGTTCATTAGAAAATAATCAAAAAGTCAGTAGGTAGTAGGTTTTATCTTTCAAATTTGACAATTGACCTGCCCGGTTCTTATACGGGACACCCTGTATTTGTCCCACATGACTACATAACCTATTTCATTCAGGTACGGCGACCAAACCGAGAAGTAAATTAAATATCACTCTGTAGGAGCTAACAGTACCCTATTCGGTCACATTTTTTAATAGATTTTTTTGAATATGATTGTAAACCAGTATACTCGTAGAAATATCACATCTGTTGGGCGAAATGGCCTTGACCTTGGGATGTGGGATTTTAAAATGTGGAGAAACGAGTAAATAGGTAGTCCTCGCATTAATTTTGACAGGATTATGGTTTTTATTGAAAAATAGCCAGCCTTGATCTTCCTTTCTAATGGAACAATAAAATGGAAGGTGACACCAAAGTTGGATGGTGTTTCTACATGAATCTATTAACGACACGACAATAAAAATCGAAGATATGACAACCAGACTAATTAATATGTATTAAGTACTCAGATTTAATGTTTTTTTGGTGAGGCTGCTTTTTCCGGATTCTCAGTGTTGATCAACGAATATTATTGTTGATATTTTAAATTTTAAATGTTTTGAAAAATGTCTTAAAAATTTTAATTAAAATTCAAATTGGGGCAGCCTGAAATAAAAGTCACTCCATCTATGTCAAAGCCAAACCAAATCGTTAAGTTGTAAATAAGTCACTAGTTCTTTTTTTAATATATCTTATATACTTTTACTCTACTCTGAAGTTCAAATTAGTTTAAATTAATTTTAATTTTTCTAAATGTATCATCACTACATTAAAGAAACGCCTCAATAGATATTAATTCTAAAATAAAATAAAATATTAATGATGAGAACCTTAGAAACATTATTTTCTATTTTCGCTTATAATAATAATCACTTTGGACATAAATCAACACGAAAATCAACCACGATAACAAATCAAATCAAGTTTTTTGGATAATTTTTTTAAATATTTTAGTTGCTCCGGGGCATTCTAATTTTGGTAAAAAAAACTTTAGAGTTTAATAAAACAACACACCAAATATCATTAAAATCGGTTAGATAGTTTTCGCAAAATAATTTTTTGAAAAAAATTTTGAAAATAAATTTTCAAAATGTTGAACAGCTTCAAATAATGCATCTAGATACTACAAAAATTTCACATAGAAAACACCGCTCAACCCTTCAAATTGTTTTTGAAAAATTGAAATCATTTGATTAGGACGGTAAATTTTTAAAGTTAATACCCTTTTTTTTATTTTTAAACAATTAGATTACATTTATCAATTTGCAATTTAGTATTTTTCAAAAATTATAATTTTAAAGTACTCGGAAAGACGTTTCTTTTTTTAAAAAAGAGTTAAATTCCGTTTATTGGTTCTTGAGATATAAGCGGTCAAAGTTTATCGGCATTTACCGTTAATTTATAAACAATTTAGCAATAATCTTTGATCCAGCCGGAAAAAATGTTCCATAAGTTATCGGCAACATAGATAAATCAGGTTCAAAATGCGAAGGTACGAAAAAAATTACATTATTTCGGCTTCTAATGGACCAATTTTGATCTTTTTTTTAATCCGATGTCTCGCGAGCCAAGGAATTCGGATATCGTAGTCCCAACTGTCTAATTTGCACATATTTTGTTATAAATAAAGTTTATTATTTACCTATGCATTAAATATATTTACTGTATATTTTACCCTATGCTAATGCATTTTTTCAATAAAAAAAAATTGTTTACGTATATATTTCAACACTCTGAATATGAATGTATTTTTTTATAATTATTACAATTATTTAAATAATTTTTATTTAAACAAATTAAAAAAATATATATATATTTTGGA